AGTACTGTTTCTGTAGAACCCCTCACAATCAGAACAAGGCAAAAGCAATAAGTTTGGGGAAGCCTAAAGCAGACCGTCTGCTTAATTGACTGTCAAGTAGTCCAACTGAAATAGCACTCCACTCATATGATGTGATGAAGAAGGGTATGGATGTTGGGACTTGAAGTGGTGGTGTGGGGGTTAGCTTTTGTGTGGCTCAGTTTATTGGTCGTATGACTCATGCCTATTGTATAATAGCTTGAGTGACTTAGACAACAACTTCATATGTCTGACTTATCTTCTATAACTTTAGAACTTACAGGAATTTGAAGGTTGCCGAGTTCTACCAAGAATCATAAAAGTTATCAGCTATCAATCAAAAGTGATAAATGACACTTCACCTAGTTGTTTTTGTGAACCATAAAAACGTTATGACTGAGGCTGGTGTCAAAATCTGTGTTCAAAACCGTTGTTGTGCTTAGAAGGAAATGAAAAAGAGTTCATATTAATTTTGACTCTTGTATCTGAACTACAGCTTTACCTCGGAGAACTGCATGCTGCACTGTAGTTAAAACACACGACAGGGCCATTAAACTAAGGCAAGGAATGGAAAGCTCTGATGGAAAGACAGACAAAACTCACAGAGCAATATAATCCTCTCTTGACATTCCTTTTGACAATTACTTATGTAATACAATTGCTTGCCAGCTGATGGTGGGAAGCAATTTGACAGTTTTATCACAACTTTGACAAAAGTAATTTACTCAGCTCAGTCCTTTCTGTGCTTCTGTGGGAAATGAATCATCCAAATAAAAATAAATAAAGGGCACCCTACCAGGATTTGACAGTTCAATGTCTTTCAACCGCAGCCCAAATGGTGTAGTCTTCACCTAGGATCATAAAAGTGTGAGTTACCCGTGCTGTGTGCTGTGATCCATCATCTGTCTGGGGGACACTTTGGTGGTCCATTGCTGTATATAGGACATCTGGGACTATAACCATGCAGCTGTTTAAAGCTTAGCTTCACAGAAAGTGTGATTAGTTTAAAGAAACTGGATTTAGAATGGCTTTAGTTTATTTTTCACATTTCTAGGTCTTTAAAAAAAACATGTATTGAGTGCTGCAATAAGTTAGTGTTGCACTACTACAGCATGAGGTTTGTACATAATGTATATTTAATTAGTTGTTCTTACAGTATGTATTTTGATAAATTCACCCCAATGGGATTTATCTTACAAAAGTAACTCACAGAAGATGTGATAATGCAGAAAAGTTTAAAGTTGTACATGTTTGCAAAAAATGTTGTGTAGTTCTTTGTTTGGATATTTTGTAATTGCCTTGCATGAGATATGAGTCAAATTGAAGTCACTCTTATGGTAGAATCAGAGTTATTATGCTCAAATTAGCTTCAGACTATTTTGTGTAAAGAAATATAAACCGATGCTCACATAATTATCTTGGGTGCTATCACCCTTAATTCTCAAAGGAGAGCTAAATCTTTGCATACGATTATAGATTAGGGTTGCAGTCTGCATACTCATTTCAGTGGGAATCAGTCATGTTTACTAATCAAAGATTAACCATAGCTCACATGAACATTTAAAAGCCACACAATATTGCGGATTTACACAAAGCCTACTCTATTAGCTGTAAAATTTATTCATTTCAGGCCATCCACCACAATATTTCTGTGAGAAAGCATTGATACCCCTAGGATTGAGCTTGTTGATCGTGTTGCAGTTGCTGTCGCGGTGGGAGTTGGCTTTGATGTAATATTGTGATATTTCATTTGATTATGCTGATTTGATTGTGCGAGGTCATCCATCCTGCCTGATGTCTCCGATATCCTTCAAAACCATTTTGCTTTATTGGCTTGCTGGTCTACACACTAGAATTTCAATGGTTGTTTGATGGTATTAATGCACCATTTAAATGCAGACCCCGAAGTTGAGGGGGCGAAAAACCCACACGGAGAGAGCATGCATGGAATCTGAAAGTCAGATGTCAGAGGAGTCAGTGGAGGGGAGGAATTTTCTCAAAATGCACATACTACACTGGAGTGGAATATCAAATGTTCGAGTGACTAAAAAAAGGAGCTCTTCTCTTTCGAATAGCACAAACTTACAATCACCCAGTTCAAATTTTTCAAAAAGGGTTCAGCCAAGCTTATGCCTCTTTGAGAAAAAAGCCAAGCATTTATGCATGCAAATGAAGTGAATAGAGAACAGATGTGCAGCACACCTGAGACAGAACTACAACAATTGTCACTTTTTCCCCATTCAAGGTAACAGAAGGATCCATTTTTCCAAAACACCTACAGTGAGCCACTATTCAAATTACATACAACATCTAGAATAGAAAATCTAAAAGAATCAAGGCCAGAAATGAAAAGACAGATTCAATGACAACTTATGTCATCTAGCCACCATCTCTCAAGTAATCTCTCTAATAAATATAATTAACACGTTTATATGCTCACATCTTCTACAGTCTTTAAGATGGCAGTCTGGCAGTTTATTGCCAAAGACAACAATTAGCACTATTACAGAATTAGACATTCAATCAAAACAAACTACATTTAACATTAAACACCTCTTCTCCTGCTTTGTTAAGAAAAATTCTGTCTGAAACTTAAATGAAATGTGTCCGCTGAGTCATTGCTTGGGGAAATCAATTCATTTAGTCATACAGAGGTGCTAAGTTATTTATTGCCTGTCAGCATGAGCTGTTAGTTCAATTTAATTCCTAGCTGCAGAAAGAACAGAGACGCTACATAGGACATTTGAAGAGAATAATTTTATTTATGCAAACAGGAAGCGTACTTTAAAAAAAATTAACATTTTCAATATCTTTTTTTTAAATCCCAGAAGTATTTCAGTGTCAAGAACACAACATTATCAGGCTTGAAGTACAGCTAAGCTAATCAACATTCCAGAACAGTTAGCACTGTTACTACAGTTAGCATGTAACTCCAAACATGTTTGCATGTACATGCTATCATGTAGCTTGCAGTACAGCTGAGAGTGAAAGGAACTGGGCTATCCATTTTCCATGTTAAACTGGTGCCAAGAACTAAAGTGTTAGGACAAGTGGAAATTGTTGGTGTTTGTGACAGCGCTATATGAAAAGAGGCTCACATTTTTCATACTCTGGAGGACCATGGATGTCTAATGACATTTTAATGGAAATCTAGTAGTCTAGATCTATCTAGTCTAGTAATTGATGAAATATTTCATTCTGGACCAAAGTGTTGCACCAACAGACGAAAACTGAGAACGCCATCGCCAGAGCCATACTGTTAAGAGTTGCTAAAAACTCATTCCATGTAAGTGTGCACCCGTAATAGTTTGTGCTTTTGCTTTCTGTATCTGTTTTTGTATTTGTAGCAAGTCACAACTGGAGCGTATTCCTACAAAACACTTTAAAGGACCAGTGTGTAGGATTAATGGCATCTAGCTGTGTAGTTCAGATTATAACCCAAGCAAGTAGGAGATGCTACGCTGGCAACGAAACTCTCAAAAAGCATTAAAGACCCTATCTAGAGCCAGTGCTTGGTTTGTCCGTTTTGGGCTAGTCTACAAGCATGGCGGTTCAACATGGCGGTCTCCGTAGAAGAGGACCTGTATATAAAAAGGGCTCGTTCTATGAATATTATATTACATTTCTGCCAATACTACTACATCCTACTAAATGTTACACACTGGACCTTTAAGGAGCAACAAAGTGAATTTACAGTACAATAAATGCACAAACCCTTCTTTCGTTTAAACTAAGTCTTTCCACTGAACATTTTAGGGAGTCCATCAAGAAGCCTTGACCTTGCAGACTTTAAAACTGATGATCTTGTCTTAAAGGGAGAGAAAGGGATTGCAGAACACTGACATTTCTAGTCACCCATTAAGTATTTATCACAATATAACAGGCACCTAACCTCATCATCTAGTAGATGAGTGAAGTGCCTGGAGTGAGTTTTAATTTTAAAAAATACAATAGTGAGGGATGTCATGTTCGTTGTTTCTTCCTAAGCAGAACCTAAAATCTCAAAGTTTTTAGAGATCCTTACAAATAAAAAGTTAAACATAAAGTTGGGAGGCTAAACCACCCTAAAGTAATTTTTGAGGACAATAGTGTAATGAACATCACTAACCAGAGGCTTGGTCACAAAGCTGAGGAAAATGACAGGTGCAGCTATTAAACACACAAACCGGTGGGCACAGGAATGTTTGGCACAACCTCGCTTTTGACTTCCATAATAGCACCATTTATGTAGACATCATACCTCAATATCTTAACATGTTTGATAAATGCTCATGTGAAATCAAAAAGTACTCCCTCAACAAAACAGTGTCATCTCACCTCCATCAATCCATTTTACAGCCTACTCATTCGGAGGTCTGCTTAAAAAGCCATTTATCTGCTCACACTAAATCATAATTGGCATTCTAATAGCAGTAAAATGACACCGATAAATACTCACCAATCATAGTCAGCACAAGCACTTTAGAATCGTTGTATCCCTTTTTACTAAAGTGGACGTTTTCCTCTTCAAATCATCAATGAGTACAAAGATACCTGCACATAAATGCATAGAGAATGAATTTAACCCTCCCCACCCTCATTCCTCCCATGAAATAACCCTTTTAAATGCAAATACCCAGGAGACTACTGGCTTCTTATCGTACATTTCATTGTCTCCTTCGGGGTGGTGGGGTAGAGAGCTGTTTTGCTCAGCATCTGCATGTAATTGCACACACACCGCAACCTTACAGTTTATACAGGAACAAAGCAGCTTCAGAATAAATTATAGCAAGAACACTAGAATATAAGGCGAGAGGATGCCATTAATTCTAGCTGCTACATTGAGGTACAAAAAGCAGAAAAAAAAGAAAAAAAAGACTTAAAAGTTACTCTGGTGGATTACGCTGACAGGTTCTTTTAACGTGATGTATAGGTCAGGACAGTGGGTCTAATTATCTTAGACTTATTTCATTCTTGGGGTTTCTTTGTAATCTCACGGGAACTTGTTTTGTTCTCTTTGAAGATCAGATATCCATTTAACCTGGTGTTTAGAGATGACAGTACATGGAATTACATATTCCAGCCTGACAAGTCAGACAGGTGTTCAGTGAGGAAATATCTCAGGTGTGTCTACTGTAAAAGACACTACAACACTGCTGCCACCTACTTTGCCTGGCAAATTCCAGCCTACATATAAAATATATCTTTCTGATATTCTCAAATCCTCCAAAATTGACTCAAGGAGAACTTACATCACCAATTTTTACCATAACCGCATTACTAAATAACATCATTACTAAGAAAACCTGACTTTCATGCTGCCTTCTGACTGCAATGTGAGCAAATAAATCATCCCTTGCTCTCCTCTGCACAGATCAGACACATTACCATGGCTGTGCTGGGGCAGGTTAACACTGCCATCTAGTGACCAGAGAGAAAATTACATTTGAAAATACCATTACGTTAATCCCCCCCCCCCAGAAAACATTCATTCAGTAGGTATAGCACAGGCCTTTATATGTTGGATTTTACATGAAATAATCTGTAAAATCACTCCAATATGGAGTAATAAGAACATGGTTTGAATGGCACAAGAACAATAAACTAGGGCTTAAAAGTAGCTGAATTATTTAGTATAAACCATTAAACCATAACAAGAATAACAAATAAAACATATTAAACATTTTTTGTTACACTGGGCTTTTTCCCATCACTAGCTTTCATCAGGGCCTTGATGGCTCTCGCCCTCATTTCCAACTCCAGAAGCTCCAGCTGCTGAATAGACGGCTGACACGTTGCAGGCGCGCGACTCGAAACGGGTCCGTCCTGAACAGGTGAACTGACATCCGTCGACAGCGGAGGTACGCTCTCTACCTCTTTAGCCGCCTCTTTGCTCGAGGTGTCCGAAAGCGCTAAGATTTCGCTGACGCTTTTGTCTATGTCGCTTTGGATGTCTTTCTTTGCCTCTGGTGGTTGAGAGGCAGTGGGAGGTTCAGGATTTGCTGTGTCGGGGTTTACAGGTGGGTCTGTGCCTTCCCTGCTGCTGTCTGCTACCTTCACCGGCCCCTCCACGGCTTTAACAGTCTGCTCCTCTTTGGGTCCCTCTATGTCACTATCATAAGTGTCTGCGTTTATGCTCAGGACGTCACTTTCCTCGCCTGAACCACCACCCTCTGTAAAATAAATGATATTACATTTTAAACGTAAAATGGTCCTTTTATTAGAGATTTTATATGTCTTGAAATCTTTGACTGAGGATGTTCTCTGGGCTCATTAATAAAAATCACCTTGCTTAGGGTCCTCAGTTTTTGCAGTTTCTTTGTGACAAGATGTAGAATCCACATTATTGTCTTGCCTTGATGGGGAAAAATTTAATACAAACACATAAAAGTATGAGAAAAGCATGATAACACACTCTACCTTTATACTGAAACTGTGCCCTGAATACTCTATCAAACTGTTCACTCACTGGCTTTCCAAGGTCTCTTCTGTGTGTTCATCACCATTTCCAGATGTCAGTTCTTCCCCTAGACACAAAACAGCTTTAAGCGAAAGAAAATGCTTTGTTTGCAATACAAGTCCAGAAAGCACATAGCTGCAAAAAAAAGGTCTTAACGTCTTACCTGCTAAGATCTGAGTGAGATTTTTCTCTGAGATCGGCTCCAGTTGCTCCCAGCACAGCTTTTTGATTTCCTCTAAACTACAGTCCTGTGGATGATAATGTGTTTAAATAGTATCTTTGATGATGGGTTGCTTTTATAGCCACCGAAGCTAACAGCTGAAGCCTATGGCCTTATTTCTCTATCTGTATGAGACATGTCATCACTTTTTAAATTCAGAATTACCATACACTTTCTAGAGTTGGCCACAAAAGTAGGTTTGTTTTTAACTTCACTTTTCAATTTTACTATACAGCTCCATAGCTTATTTATAGCTATAGATAAGAACCCTACACACCGTATCCAAAATAACAGTGACTGCAGCAATTTTTGAAGTTATCTGGAAAAGTAAAACATGGTTACGGTGACTTTCAATCAGTTGCAATGAAATAAGAAAACATAACTTAATTAGGTGCACCATAATACAATATATGCCTACAAAAAGATGGAACAAACCTTTTCATGCAATGATCACTATTGCTCAAGGGGTTGTTGCTTTTTTTCAGCCAAAGCTGGTGATGTTGGAATATAGCCAACAGTACAAAATATGGCCAATTATGTTGGAAGACAACACTTGGCAATGCACAAAATGTACCAAGGCGTAAAAATCACAAAGTAATGCCAGCAAAAAAACTGCGTGATGGCAAATTAGGTCAAATGAGGCTGATAAATGCCCTTTGATCAATAGTTGTTAAAAAGTTTTATATGAAAAACATAGTCTGAAGTGTGACAACGTTTCAAAGACTGAGATCAAGACTTTGATTTAAAACTGATATTTATATTCAGCCCGATGTATCGCAGGCATATGAAGATTGCTTTGATTGTTTCCAATTAAATAACGTGGATTTTATATGATCATCCAGCTACCTTGAGTTCATCAGGCAGCATTTTCCGTAACTTCTTGTCCCCCAGCACGTGGAAACACTGCTCCAGCATCTCCCGCTTGTCACCGACATAGGCAGTGATGGGCTGGAATGGCAGGCTGAGGTCAAGTCCCCCGTCCTCAATGTCACTGCCAATCCTGTCCAGCTCAGCGTCAGCGAGTTCATCCTTGGAGTCCTGCTTTAGGAAACCAATATGTTACCGAGACACAGTGCCTGGAGGCCTTGAAAAAGTCTACAAGTGTGACTAAAATGAAGCAATGAAAAGGTTTTTTATTGAACACGGTTAGGCCACTGTTGGGACAATATGAAATGGCACTAAAAGAAACAAGAAGAAACAAATGTTTTTATTGCACCTCAGACAGGCACAGCCGGTTTAACTTTCTTGGTGGGGGATACGATAACCAAGCCGAGTTGGATTTTGGAATGACTGAAAAAGATGCAGGTTGCCCTTTGTGACAATTCAAAATAAATCAGGAAATCAATATAGGACTGTCTGTTAGCGAGCTGGACAGATCTTTCAAGTCACTCAAGTGAGGATACTCATGATTATCTCAATAATGAAAATTCACCACAATAAACTCATGAGTGTTATTTATCGCTATGACAATATTGTATATTGTTAATATTTGGTTTCAAGTTTAAGTTTGTGTGCTACTTTTAAAAGGAACGCGACAGGAAGTCAACCAATATGTAGACTTTTGTTCTGTGTCAAAACACTTTACATCTTGGCATTGGTTATATTGTGAGAGAGGTTTCCCATGTTCAAAAAGACATTAAAGTAATCCTAAGAACTTTTAAATTGTTCTCCGTTACACAGGTTTGTGTTATTAAATGCTTTAAATAAACACAGTATATGCAGGACAGCTACAAAATACACTGTTGACAATCTATTAGGTACATCGAGCTAAAATGAATACAATAATACAACAGCCTGACAATGAATCCCAATCCTTTAATGGATGTTACAAGGTTTAGTGTTGGTGGAGATCATTTTAGAGAAATCTTGATTCAACCACAATGATGAGACAGTAGCTTGTGAAGCTAAAGAACTGTACATGGTTAAATAAGCGTTTTGTCCACCCCATATTTGTTTTGTTTGTTTTATATTTGACTTAACTGTGAGGTTAAATACTCATGCATGTGGTAAAAGCCATAACCATTTCATTTCCAGTGAAATTTAAAGCTTTGTAGTACAACGACTCACTGGAATTTACTGTTGCTATTAATGCACACTATTGAAAATGCATACAGCGAACTTCCACCACCGCTTGACCACAGTCAAACACAAGACTGAATCTTTCCTGGTCGGGGTGCACTGTGTGTCTATGGACTGTGAAACATGCAGCTAACGTTAGAGCTTTATACTGTGGCATAAACAGACATAGCATTAGCTTCACAGCAGCTAGCACAGCTCACCTCCATGTTGGACTCCGCACTTTTGCGTTTATTGCTCTCATGTCGCTCTTCAGACTGCGAGTGTTTCCTTTTCTTTTCAGCGCTGCTTGATTTCTTTTTGAGCATTCTGGCGGAAGAAGAGCTGTTTACTCGTAGCTCACCAGCTACACTTGAATGTCGCGGGGAAAATATGGCATTAGCAAGCGACGACTTCTTCTTCTTCTTCTTCTTCTTCTTCTTCTTCTTTTGGTGTCGGCGACAAACCTCTTTGTTAGCGCCACCTACCGGGCCCGGGGCGTCGCTGCTCGCCTGTCGCCTCTAAATCCAGCAAGATAAAGTTCACACTAGCAACTTCACACTAACACTCGTGTGTCTCACTTAGTCTCAACTGTATAAGAATTGTTTTAAAATGTGCTAAAGGTTGCATTTAAAAATGAGCATTGCAGCACTAGGCTAGACCATAACAATATGTCAATTATTGGTGAGTGTAGCCTCCAAGTCTCCACATAAAAGCAGGCTTCTTCTAACATCAGCCACAAAGAGCTATATCATATTCTGTGAATCTTATAGCTGCACAGCCGTCTGAATTTGGACTGAACCTTTCTCTCGCAGTGAGAGGTGCCGTTCATGCAACCTCCCAAGCTGTTGATGGAAGTGCAAATACATTCAAACTGTATCCCCATCGTCATTTTACACTTCAAAGCTTGCTCGGATTACTAGTGACAGTCAATCACAAGTCCCCTTCCTGTATTTCGCACGGTCTCGCCATCTCCCAGTTTCCATCTGCCTCACCATTTCATCAAATACTGTGTCAGATTCATTACCGCAAAAAAACCTTCAAACCTTCTACCGCTGCTTATTTACATCATTCAGGTTTCCACATTTGAAATCAGACAGCGCTATCCTCGTCGGTAATGTATGTTTCAAAGGAATCTACAAAGGAATGTGGGGTCGCATAATAATGACACATAGGTCACAACTGTTTGCAAAACATAGGTTATAATAAAAATGATGCAAAACAAAGAGACACGTATGAAAACGTACTATCTATGGCTATGGTGCGTTATGCATGCCCTGTAGAAAATATGTAAAACAATGAAATTAAACATAAACCATGCAATTATTATTTTACATAGGTAAAATGTGACATACAGTGTCCTAAAAAATAAATCCTATTGTCCAATATAATCACAAAACAGTGCATTCAAGACTGAATTAGATATAATATGAATTAGAATTAGATAGCATATAGACAATTTCACACACACAAAACCTAAAATATTTGTTACTGTCTTCAGAAAGGTACATTTCTAAAAAAGTATATACAATACATAATAATCCATAGAGGAAAACACTATCCATATGACCCCTAAAAAATACCATTAACTTCACTTAAAGGACACGCTAACATTAACTCCCGTCGGGAGCAGAATTACATTACATTTCACCAATAAACAACTCTGCTGCTCTCTTCAGCATGCCCTCCTTATTACCACCCAGGTAGCCATGCATTTTCTTTAGCTGGACCGAGACACAGGTTTCAAGGTGGTGACGACACAAGCAAGCTGTAAATCACTCTAATTGGCTTCCCCGCCTCTGCCTGAAATAAGGTGGGAGCCAATGCAATGGCTGCCCAGGCGCCATGGCGACAGCTGTCTCCACATAATGCAGGTTGTTATCCTGATGCCATCCACCAAATTATGCAGTGGATATGGTGGGATGTGCGCATCGATCACAATCACGTCACAATGTGTTTTCTTTGCAACATCTGCTCCCATGTGTCTGGATATCACCTCGTTAAAAGGGCAATGATGGAGCTGGCACTGTTGAAGGGGACATTGCATTTGGGAGCCATGAAAAGGAGAGGAAAAACAACCACACACACCAATTCTCCAAAAAGTATGTTGAGTTTTGTGACAAGAGACAATTCTATTCACAATGTAGCACATTATTGCATTCTTAAATGAGAGGGTGCTCATAGAAATCACTTTGTCTTCAAAAGAGTATCTGTTTAATACACACCAGGGCTCTGTTGTCCAATGAGACAATTTGGCTAATCAAGAGATGTATAGCAGAGAGCAGAGAGCTGAATGCTTTTTGCTATTCTTCTCATTTAATTTAGTTTCGTTGCATAATGCATGGTAAATGATGAATCACAAGGAAGAGGAGAAATGTTCAATTAGTGAAAGTGAGATTAAAAAGCGAGAGAAGCTCATGAGAATCTCACCTCAAAAGAAACAAAGAAAAACTGAAAAAAAAACATGGATAAGAAAACCTCATGAAAACACACTCAACATAGAGAAAAATTGGTATGAAACGCAATATATAAAATAAATTCAGCTCAATCGGATGCTGGAAAAACAATGAAATTGAACATTGCAGTTTAGCCTAATATATTGCTGTGGGGCGCATGTGTCTGTGTATATGTAGTTTCATGGGAAATCAGCATGTTGTTTTCAGGCCAAATACTTTTCATTATTTTACAGCTGAAGAGGAGTAAGTACATATTATTTGGCAACATTAGTTTGTTTGAAATTTTGCAAAATACGTAGCACATTTTAGTAAGATATACTTTGATTGCATTCAGATCATATTTGGGTATGTTTACATGCACACAATAATGCCACATAACTGAAACAATACTCTCGGTGCTACATAATTATATAAATTAATCCAGAAATGTGAATTATCAGTGCAGATTGCTGAAAAAATTACAAGCTGATTATGATTTTCTACGACAAACTGCACAGAAATCAACCGTATTCTAGTGCTTATTAAATGCACACCCATCAGATGAAGTCTGAAGCATTTCTGGTAATTTTCCAGCTTACTGGAAGCCATATAAGTTTTACGTGTGAACAGACAACTCTCCAATCAACACCTGTCCTTGACAAATCAACACTTATTGACAGTGGGTGTAGAATAACAACTTCTCTGCCAACTGAGATAGATGTGCATTTTCCCCAGTTGACTAAAAACATACCTGACTTTTGAGAAGTCTTCAGATAAATTTTCTTTAAGGCAGCATCTTTTTTTCCCTATTAATCCCCTTAAATAGAATAGAACCTTAATTAGTGTCATTGGTAAAAGCTGTAAAAAAGATCTATTATAACTTTAAAGTCACAGTGAGACAGCAGTTAGAGCGTCTTTAGCTTCAGTATTGTGATATATTTCCGAGTGAAGGGATATACTGTGTGAGCAAGATTTGCAAAACGGTGGGTGGGGCTTAGCAAATATAGCTAGAAATAAATTCGAACAATATTCTTTGGAAATGTAAACAAGGTTTTTGCTGGCTTCAATTCAAACACACACCCCTACGCTTTGTAGCCATGTGCAGTTTTATTGCTGAGATTGGATACATTCATATAACCACCAACAAGCTGTAGATGAGTCACAAATCTGTATATCATACAAAAATCCTCAAAAAACAGCTGACACATATTTAGTATGTAAACTAACAAGAGATTACCAGTTAAGACAGGGATACAGGATATATAGTGATCCAGTGCTATAGCAGTACAACTGGAAGTTAAGTGACCAACCTGACACACATCTCTCTCCTTAAAGTGGCAGAAAGAAATCTAACCAAAGCCTTGTCTGAGACCACTTAACATCTCATATGTAATGTAAGAGTCCTTTGCGATTGAGTCTCTCGATAGACTATTGACATTGAGATGATTTATTATCATGCCACTGGTCCAAAGACCAGCTATACAGATAATGGCCGAGGGGTTTGGAGAGGGGCCTCTTCTAGAAATCTCCTCCTATGACCAAAGAGCAAAAAGCAAAAGTAAAATAATGCAGCAAAAAATCTCTGCAAGCTTACAAGTCCGTTTTAATGGCTGTCCAGTCTGTAGCTAACTATGCTTTCAGTAAGTATCCTCAGCTGTCATCACTGCTAACAGTTTGCACTATAAGCTTCAATTATCCTTACATGTCTTTGTGCAGCGGGCTGACAGTTGTCACCAATTAAGTTGAACTAATATACTAGTTGTCAGTATAGTTGTAAAATTATAACCAGTGGGTAACATTTTGTCTTAATTACTACTCTTTTCCACATTTTTGAACCACTTCTTTTAATATGAAAGAATGTATCTACCTCTTACTCCCCTTGTTTAAATAAAGTTTTAGTTTAGGGCTCCAACATTGTAACATTTAAGGCAATACTGATTTGTCTGGTTGAAAACAAGGTAAAACAGGTTGCCTGCATACACGGGGATAACTAAGGAGCCTGTGTCACATTAAAAAGACAAAAAGGTTTTAAATAACCCTGCTACGCAGTCATATAAACTTTATAATATTGGCTAAAAATTCACATTCAACAGTTAAGTTATTGCCTTAAAAAAACACACATAAAAACACTGAATAATGGCACTAAGAAGATAATCACTCTCTTTTTGGCTCACGCTCGCAGTATAACAGCTCTCCTGGTTCCCCCATTCAGCATGGTGTTAACTTAAATATCAATTGTTCTTACTTAAGCAGCATCTTTTCTCCACGGTGCTGCTAGGCAGCTTGTTAGAGGACTGCAAAAACAAGGCAGTGTGTACACAGTTGTAGCCTTGAGTAATGAAAGCCAGAGATGTCTATTAAAAATCTATTCATTGTCTCTTCTAGGACTTCTAGGAGAACTGCAGCTCATCAAGAACAGCAGTCAGTGTGTTTGGAATCAGTTGGGAATTTAAAACAGAAACAACAGGAGAAGAGAAACACTCTTACAGTGTTGGCTTTTAGCTTATGTTAGTCAGTTTATACTATATACTGTACACAGAGAGGCATCTTTAAAATATTCATGAGCCCACTGAGGTTTGAATTAGACATGTTAGAGTGCACCGGGTATCCAGCTTGTTGGGCTAAGACAAACAGGAGACAAATAGGAGCTTTGAGGGATCATCATGATAAAAACTGTGTCAGACATTGCTGCCTGAAGTTATTGTTGCAGTTCGAGTGTATGTAGAGTATAAAAGTCACTTTGAATTTGCCCTTCTTGGATGAAGTACCCATCTGCAATAAATAAATGAACAAATCAATAAAGAAATGATGTCTAAAAGAAAGTCTAAAAGAATATTATAAAATAAGTTAATAATGTTCAATAAAAAAAACACAAACAAATATATCAAATCAGTTGCCAAAACAATCTCTACTCAAGGTTCACTTTTTCCCTTCATCTGGAGGTGACTGAGTTTGCTCGGTTGATGTAAATGTTCAAAGTTTACATAATACTCAGCACCTC